TTGGTTGAAATTCCCTAGATTTGATCACCATATCCTGATGGAAGACAATTTTATTTTAGCAATTGTTGTATCAGTTATGTTGAATTTGAAAATTGTTAGGTACTACATTTCTCAATTCAGAGCTGCAATGCAAAAAAATCGAAATCACCGATCAAAAGCAACCGTTGCCGGTTTATTTTTCTATCAGTTTGTTCGTGTGGGCGAGTGAATTCCTTGCGAATCAAGAGAAGATTACTGCCTGTTGTCGTTGACGAATCAAATTTTTTTTACCATGTTGATGCTGAAAATTGTGAACCGAAATAACTTAATTTTTGCAGAACTGGCAAAACACTCTTCGTAACTTCCCCAAAGTTGAGAAATCGAACGTTTGGAAATGGGCATTGGCATTTTTTCAATCTTGTTTTATAGGAAACTTGAGTTTCTTTCCAAAAAATTGCAATGAGCAGAAAAAATACTTTAAAAAAAATCGGAATCACCGATCAAGAGCCACCGTTGTCAGTTTATTTTTAATCAGTACAGTATGTACGTGTGGGTGACTAAAACCAAGTTTTCCTCTTTAAATATATACTGTATAAATTTTTTTTTTAATTGTGTAAAGAGTGAGGTATGGTGCTACCTCACTTAAATGCTATGCAAGAAAATTTGTATTGTGAGCGGAAAGAATTACTCGGCGGTTCTCTTGAGAACAAAAATGCTAATTAACCCGTTCACTGAATGTCGTGGGCGGCCTGGATTTTCTTGTTTTTATTTAAAACGTATTCCTGACGAGGTTCCGTGACGATTAGCGGCTTGTACCCTGATTTTTCTCGCTTCCGTTCCCACTTGGGATATGCAGTGTCGCGCTCAGTATTTGAATAAATCATCAATGAGTTTGGAAGAATCAGTGAACGCAAAATCGATATCATCTCACCTTCTTCCCGGAAGTTTCATTCGTTCACGACTAAACCAGTCTTTTTTTTTTCTTCCGCATTCCCCGTAAGATCGTACGTACCGTATATTGTGTTGCATTTTATGGAAAGAATTTATTCGGAATTAACCAGAACTTTTTAATTGCGTATTTTATTGGGGAGAGCTAAAGAAATGTTTTCAGTTTACGGAGATGCCCATTACTGTATTGAGAAAAAGATAAATTTGAGTCAGAATTAGGAATTTTTCATGCATCCATTCTCTACAAGTCTACAGGAACATTGTCTCAAATCCTCTATGGTTGTGAGTTATGGAACATTTCAATTTCTCTGTTTCTCAAAAATGAATGTGATTGACATTTTAGTTGGGCTTGTCTTGTGAGAACAAGTAGTGTCTTATTTCCGCTCGAAGTCTTTTTTTTTTCAAATTTATTCCCTTCATTAGAGCACGGAAGTTTAGAATCTTATGATCGGACAATGGCGGAAATGTCTGAATCATTTCTCTTCTTCGTAAATTTTTCGCTCAATTTTACTCTAAAATTTTTTTAACACTTTGAATAAGAGGAGGAAAATTCCTCAGTGAATCGACTGGTTTCTTATCAATGGATATATAACTTCAAAATTTACAATCGGTCATTGCTCAAAAGATTTAAAATACCACTTTGATTTTTACGAACTTTTCACTTTGCTCAGAAGACTACTGTATGTCTATAGAAGACTACCATTTATAATATATATGCCATATATGGCCTATATTTTTTAGGCGCTCAGTTGTGCAGAAAGAAGTACATATATTTGCAAGGATTGAACGCGGAGAATAAATGTAGGCTGGGTTTTTTTTCATCAATCAACCGTAATATTTGAATCAATCTTGCTAAAATTCAATATTTGGGATGTACTTGGCATCTAGATGTGTGTTTCATCCTACGTTGTATTTATTTCAAGTAAAATTCCTTGAAATCGTCTTTTCAAACCCTTTTCTGAATTTATTTTTAGACGCTTCCACTTTGAAAATCATTTCATATCTAGAATAATTGCCACTCTTTCACTTATTTCAATTCACCGGAATCTAAAGTCGTGAAGAACTTGATGCTGCGAATTGACGCATGACGAGGCAATGCGATCCATTTTCCATCAAGATGCAACCTTTCACTTCATTGTGCTAGTGAACTGGCGCATAAATGAATACTTTCACAGATACCGTTTTTTTTATTGATCCGTTTTCGAATTTTCTAACATTTCCGGTCGCAGCATTTAGAATGAATAATAAATACGTGTCATTCTCATTACTGAGATCTTCTCTAATTTTTTTTCATATCGCATGACGGCGGACAATTGAATTTTTCTTTTCAAGAAAAATGAGTCGGATTGCATCCTCGCTCAGACTTTCTCCATTTTTCAAAGGGAAAAGCAATTTTTGTAAGGATGGCGGTTCTGAAAAAAAAGTGATAGCTTTTCGAAGGTGAGTTCGCCACTGAAAGGATTCTGGAACGGAGGGCTTTAAAAAAAATTTTGAAGGATGGATTGCTGGGTTAAAAATTATTTGGTTTAAAAAGGTCATTTTTAAAATTAGCAAATAAAATCAACGTATACATCTTGAAATATAGGTAATCTTCTCCTGCATCTGCTTTTCTTGGGGAGACGCGCCAAATCTTCAGAACGGGTTATTCTTCGATGCCGTGTGAACCCCTGAAAACATCCGGTCGGCGGCATCATGATTTATAGTTCATACCAATTGGCCGTGCGTTACAATCTTATAACGTGAGCACATGTCATGATCTAGAGCTTTTTTCCTCGATAAGATTAAAAACAAGTGCTGCGAACCTATAAGCAAAAGTCAGTTAATTTATATGAGTCTCGATAAGATGAGTGAAACTTGGCGGTTGAATAAAAAAAACTATGAAACTTGAATGCACAGTACTGCAATCGTAAAATGCCTAAAAACTGTCCTCTGTTCACTTCTCCAAGTTTCAATCAAGAGAATACTTGTACGGTGAGTTTGAAGTGCGCACATCTCGGTAAGAAAATAATTTCCCGTGTCGAATGAGTTTGTTTTATGAGTGAGCAGGCTGTCAAAGTGCCACTGAATATTCAATACCACGCATAGAAAATACTCTTGATGATGATGTGCGATTGGTGATAATCTTATCCCTACGAGAAAGTGTTCTGATCGTGGCGGTGTTCGTGTTGGCTACATTGGGTGTGGAAGCTGCCTTAAACTATCAATTTCTGAGCGAGAAGTCGTCCGAGTCACGGCTAAAACCCGTGAAGAAAAAACGCGAACCTTTGTTTGGAGAATGCTGACTCGAAAACTTTGGATTCCGAAGTACAAAATGTCGAGGCCATGAAAAATCATTTCGTGAATTTTCAGGAATCGGAAGAGTTGGAGTTTTTCGGAAAATTATGAAAAAAATTATTAGTCCTGTTGAAATTTCTTATTACTTCGACCCGGACCCGGAGATAATCAGGTTTTCCGCATTAATTATTGTTCGAAATGGCCTAGTTAATTAATCTGCACTGATGCCCGACATTGAACGTGAAGGGGAATTGCATCGTGGGGCATTTTTGTTCGAAATCATAAATTTAAGGCTTGTTGAAGGCGTTTTCCTCGGGCCAATCAGTGCTATTTCGAATCGTTCCGCGTAAGATTCCGTCGAAGTAATTTGCACGAAACGTCAGTGTCGTAAGTTTGTCCCTGCGTTAGATTTTGTGCCAAGTCGGGTCAATCTGTCGCCCTTTCATCGATATTCTTTTTCCCACGCCCGGAAAGGAATGATTGTCGACAATCGTAAATCGTTTGNTATAGGTAATCTTCTCCTGCATCTGCTTTTCTTGGGGAGACGCGCCAAATCTTCAGAACGGGTTATTCTTCGATGCCGTGTGAACCCCTGAAAACATCCGGTCGGCGACATCATGATTTATAGTTCATACCAATTGGCCGTCGCAATGTTAGAATATTGCACTCGTGTACAGTACTAGATCTCGAAAAAAGGAGCTATTCTAATTTTTGTTCACGACGCTTGGATATTCGTTTTCAGTCAATTAAATATACTCAGAGCTATTCTACTCAGAAACTTGGCGGTTGAATAAAAAAAACTATGAAACTTGAATGCACAGTACAGTACTGCAATCGTAAAATGCCTAAAAAACGATCTTCTGTTCGCTCCTCCAAGTTTCAATCAAGAGAATACTTGTACCGTGAGTTTGAAGTGCGCACATCTCGGTAAGAAAATAATTTCCCGTGTCGAATGCGTTTGTTTTATGAGTGAGCAGGCTGTCAAAGTGCCACTGAATATTCAATACCATGCATGGAAAATACTCTTGATGATGATGTGCGATTGGTGATAATCTTATCCCTACGAGAATGTGTTCTGATCTTGGCGGTGTTCGTGTTGGATACACTGGGTGTGGAAGCTGCCTTAAACTATCAATTTCTGAGCGAAAAGTCGTCCGAGTCACGGCTGAAATCCGTGAAGAAAAAACGCGAAGCTTTGTTTGGAGAATACTGACTCGAAAATTTTGGATTCCGAAGTACAAAATGTCAAGGCCATGAAAAATCATTTCTTGAATTTTCAGGAATCGGAAGAGTTGGAGTTTTTCGGAAAATTATGAAAAAAAAGTATTAGTCCTGTTGAAATTTGTTATTACTTCGACCGGGGCCCGGGGATAATCAGATTTTCCGCATTAATTAGTGTTCGAAATGGCCTAGTTAATTAATCTGCACTGATGCCCGACATTGAACGTGAAGGGGAATTGCATCGTGGGGCATTTTTGTTCGAAATCATAAATTCAAGGCTTGTTGAAAGCGTTTTCCTCGGGCCGATTAGTGCTATTTCGAATCGTTCCGCGTAAGATTCCTTCGAAGTTATTTGCACGAACCGTCAGTGTCGTAAGTTTGTCCCTGCGTTAGATTTTGTGCCAAGTCGGGTCAATCTGTCGCCCTTTCATCGATATTCTTTTTCCCACGCCCGGAAAGGAATGATTGTCGACAATCGTAAATCGTTTGATGAGGAAGTTTTATGACGGGCGAGTTGGTGGAGGGTATTAAAGTCTGGTTTGATTTGCCCCTGCCAAAGCGTGGGAAGAGTTCCTTTCATGATTTACGCCTCGGGTTTCGAGCGATTCGAGTTGCTCGTTTGCCAAGGTGTCGGGGAAAAACGGGTGCGAGAAGAAAATCCCTTAAGGAGAAAAATCACCCGAAAGAAAATCCCGCTTCTATTACATCGCGTCAGGAGATTCAGCAATAATCTCCCTGAGATGACTTTTATTGTTTCGATACAGTATTTCACTTCGTATTTTCGTAATTGCATTTGCATCACTGTGCAGCCCGTGAGAAGAAACATTCAATCGGAAGCATTGTTTTGGTTTTATGATTAATCATCGGGTTGTGGATTCTTGGCATCACTATATGAACATAAAATTTAATTAACGCTGTGCGTCTCAGCTTAACTAAAAAAAAATATACTGTGATAGAATACTCGAGTATAGGCCGCCCTTTGAATAGTTTCGAAGAAAGAACTGCTCAAAAACGACGAGCATATTTGTCAGCATTGACTTAAAGAATTGGGCTTTAATTTGAGATGTCTCTGATTTATGTTGGATTTAATTGCGAAGAGGATAAATTAGTTCAGTGTTCTCCAACCCGTGGTCCGCGGACCGATGCCGGTTCATAAGTTTTTTGCCGGTCCTTGGGAAATTTTCAGTGTAATACAGTGAATGCATCAGAAGTTGTAATGAAGTCTGTTATTGTTATATGATGTATTGGAAAGACAATGGCAGTTGAAATTATCTGATTAAAAATAAAATTTGGCTTTTCCCTCAACAGCATTCAAGAATAATTTTCACCTGCTGAAATAAATTATTTCCAGTTTTCCTTCAGGTAAACCATTTCAAAGTCCAGCTTTCTAATTTTTTGAAGAAATTGCATTACAGCTGCTTCACTGGTTCTTGATTTAATTTTTTAAATGAAAGTTTTGTTTGGATGACTTTATGAAAGGTATTTAAAAAATTTGCTGGCAGTCTTCAAGAATTTTATGGAACACCGCTGGTCCGCAGAAAATGTTATGGAAACATGCAGGTCCGCTGAAAATTTATGAAAGCACTGAATTAGTTATATAAGCCGGAAGAAGTAGAAGAGCAAGCATACGTTCGTCAATCTGTTGACTGTTATTTGAAAACTGGATATTGCCGAATGTGAAATTATGTTTGAAAAATGTCAACAAAATTCAATTCAAATTGTTTGTGTTTTTTACGCCCCTGCTAAAATATCAAAAGTAGGTTTTTTCAAGATGAATGCAACTTTTATCCTTCGATGCGTGTAAAATAAGGCTGTGGTCGATGATCACGCGCGGTATACAGTCGTGTTCATCCCGGAATTATTTGAAATTTTTGTAATTATTTGTTTACAATTGTTAATTTTTCATTCACGCAATTTATACCTTCGGGATTTTTTTTTCCGCGAGATTTTCTCTGGGAGCCCGGAAGAGACACGATGCACTGATGTAAGCGAGGTAAGAAGCGGTGAAGAGGAATCGTGTTGGTATATCTTCCCACGCGTACGTTGACGCGGGATTTTCTCCGCGTGATTCATTCCGCGGTGGGAATCAAAACTGGGAACGTTTTCATCGCACGAAGGAACTTACGCTCGTGTTTATTCCTGCCGCATCGTTATATCTTCCCACGCGTACGTTGACGCGGGATTTTCTCCGCGTGATTCATTCCGCGGTGGGAATCAAAACTGGGAACGTTTTCATCGCACGAAGGAACTTACGCTCGTGTTTATTTCTGCCGCATCGTTCGTCCGTATGCTCGTACTCGTAAATTTAGTTTTGTCTCGTCTTCCGGGGGTTTTCCTTCCCGAAGAATCTCGTTTATTTCGTGTTGGGATGAAGTGCGGGGAAAGGGCGCTAAATGGGTGTGAATCCGGCACCAGTGAGAAAGACACGAGGCAAGTGTGAAGCTGGTACAGTTGCAGAGCAGCAAATACTGTTCCTGCCACGCATGTGCGCATATTGGTTTGAGTCTCACTGTCGAGAATGACTACGAAATAGGAGTGATAGCGTGTAGAATATCGATTCAGAGAAATATTTGAGTAGGAGTTGATTATGGAATGAGCAGTGCGTGCAAGCTTAATAGTTCATCAAAATAAAATAAATTGAGCTGCGCATGTGTGCGTACTCTGCCGTGGACAGAAAGAGAGAGGGAAAAAAATCTGTCACTCTAGATAAAAAATAACCTACTGTGGTGTGAAAAGTGCCGAGGAAAGATCACTCGATGGAAAATCACGAGGTCCAATTTGCATCGCTTTTGAAACCTTTTTTGTTGTTTTCTTTTGAGTACAGTTTCATTTTGGCAATTGATTAAAACCATTGTCGCGCTAGGAAGCCTTTATATACTGTACAAAATTCTGTGCGGTATTCTTGAATGAGTGAACTATCGCAAATTTTGAAAAAGTGCACAGTACAGAAGGTGTCAATGAAAAAAATGCACCCAGCAATACTTTTTCAGCATAATTCATTACATGCAGAGCATTCATAATGCGGAATCTACAGTACTGGAAAGACTGCGATATGCACGAAAAAACGACCCAATTCCAAATTGAAACATTATTTTGACTTGAATTTGGCTGCTTGATTCCCCGCAAAATCTCAGGTAAAATTATGCATAATAATTTTGACCTCAAGAATGTTACAGTGGCGTTGGCCACACTGATTGAAAACTTTTGATATTGTTGTTTCAATTTTCCTCGACGAAAAAGAAAAGCTTCCGAGGAAGCAGCGTAATTAAGCATGAAACAAGGGGAAAATTGCATGCGTTTTGAATCATTAAATGCGTTTTTTACCCTTCGCGAAAATATGATGGAAATTTTTGTCCGATGAAGTGGATTTTCCCCCTTTTTTCTTGCTCTTCCCTCGTGTACGTTGAATCTCATCATTCTTTTTTGTTTTCTCTGAGTTCTGATAAAAAGGTTGTTCGCTTTAATTATCGATGCATTTTTCCTTTTCTTGCAGGGTGTCCTGAGGATCAACCCGAAGCGTTACGAAGACGCATATATTTCGGCGCCGGTAATTCTTGGTATAAGCCGTTTTCATTATTCTATCCCTCATTTGCGACTTTCGAAGCTCGGGTTCCTGCGCAAAATTTTGTGCGAATTTTCTTGGGAAAAACGATCGTGTTTTCCTTTTCTTTGTCATTTCGGTCCTTGTGTCTTTCGTGTTGAGTTGTCCCATCCTTGCACGGGTTTGTGCATTTTCGCGTTTCATTCAGCCAGCAGTTCACTTCACGTATGCGTGGTTTGACGCATGCAAACACGTACTGTTAGATTGAATGAACAAGGAAAACATGGGGATGGCTCGGGAAAATATTTCAGTGAATGTTTTGTGAAATATTTTTGTTCTGGGCCTTTTTTTCCCTTCGTTTGGATGATTAGGACGTAGCGATGGACATATACATATGTGGGCGTCGTGAGCGGAATGGAGCCCTTGATGGAGACCGTGTCGCCGTCCAGCTATTACCCGAGAGAGAATGGAAGGTAAATGCTTCATGTTTAGCCCTCTTTATTTCTTTTCTCTGGGTATAATGTTGTAGTCATTGAGGTTTTCGTGAGTACTTGCTACGAGTCCTCCTCGGCTTCCTCACGGGGTCTTTATCGTGCCTTAATTGATTTTCTGCGTTGAGCTTTGTTACGATTGTTGCCCAGAAATGAAACGCCGGATGCCCGTTCCTCCGCGGGTTGTTGAGCTTAATTATTGCGATGTTTGACTATTAATTTTTCTAGTAATTTTTAAACGTGGTTGCAAGAAAAGTTGTAATACCTTATTTTTTTCTTGAGTTGAGATTCATCCAAAATTGTAGAATACGCATTCCTCAGACGGAAATCGCATTTGAATTTCAGTGAACGACTTTCTTTATGCTGTACCAGGGAACAGGTCCTTTCTCAGGACCTGTTCCCTTCTCAGGAACAATTTTTTGTTCCTTTCTCAGGAACAATTTTTTTTAAAGCTCAACGGACTGTTCATTGACATTTGTTCGTAGCGAAAAATTGGCACCCATTTAGTGTCGACGATTTTTATCTTTAAAAATATTGCCTCGCCGAAAGTGTTCTGTGAGTTCCTTGTGAAATATTTCTTGAATAAATGGATTAATGAAAATTTATGACTTTTTCCTATTGATTTTGATACGTGGAGTGAACGATTTTGAATGATTGATGGACTAAGTTTCTTCTGAAGTTCTGATCTTTTTTTTTTCCTGAACAAATCTAGTTTTTTGAAAAATTTGAAAGCATTTGATAGAATTTCTGAAGACCGGGAATTATTACCGGAAAACGAATAAAGGAATGATTATTTTTGTAGTCGTACATTTTGTGAGACATTTCTTGCGATTTTTTCCTGGTGTCGCTGGTAGAAGTTAACTTGACTGATCGACACGATCTTCCTGAGGAAAGCATGTCGAAGTTCCTGGAAATGTTCATTTACAGCATATTCCTCTGAATAAAATGAGGATCCGACGGGGGCCCGAAGTTTGCTTCGTTCCGTCTTTGACCGAATCTTTGTAAAAGTCCTTGGAATTATATTATGGTTTCCGTGCTTAGCCAGAGAAAAACGAGATGTTAAAATTCATGGAAGAACAATACCTCAGACTATACTTCGTCTTGAGCTAGAAGAGAAACCGAGATGATGGATCACTCTTGCCTCCTGTTGTCAACTACTCAAGGAAAGCGTTTCAAGTCCGTCAATTCGTCCCTTGGAAAACAAAATAATAATTTTTTTGTATATGAATTTTGTGACGTTCAAAATTTTATTCCTAGAATAATGACACGGGAGAGCTGGGAAATTTATTGATCGACACATCGGCATTCCGTTACGGAGCAAGACTTCTTGCATTTGTATTGCACACGATTAAGCTGTGGAACTGATTCTTTTGTTTGCTTTTTTCTCTTTGAAGATTTTCCACGATCGTGTGCTAGACAACCTCCGTGAACTAACCGAAGAAGAATTTCAAAAACTCTACGCTAACAAGGACTTCTCAACTCGCCCTCATGTCGCCGAAATGGTGCACGTGGCTCGTCAGGGTGCTTTCATGAATTTCAATCTCTTTAACCTTGACGATGTCGGCGAGCCGGGATCCGCAAAATTAATTCGGGATAACAATCCGTCGACTTCAGGGTTCACTCCACCCACCATCGGCTTCTGGAACAACGAAGACGCCGGAGATTCTTTGACGGATCGAATCAAAGTCCGAGATAAACGCGTTGAAGATGTCGTGACGGGCTCGGATGATGATGACTACGACGTCATCCTGGAAGCTGAGGAAGAAATGGACGAAGAGTTGTTTCATATCGTTGCGCAACATTCCGGATTTTCCCCGGCTGCGGCCAAAAGCAAATCCGGCACTGAAGTACGTTCGAAGAAGGAAGAAAAAGAAGTCCGTGTCGAATCGTGCTTTGATAACGGGATCTACAGCGACGAATACTCGCGAGAAGCGAGTCCTGATTTAATTGGTTCAGTCGCCGTTGCTCCGGACGAGCTTTTGGGAGACATTTGCTTTGTTCGTTCGGATTCGGAGAAGGCGAACTCGGACGACGAAATGAATGCTCTTCAACGAGCCGAAGACGAAGCTTTCTTCAACGAACTCGATGCAACGTGCAATCCTCGCGAATCCCCGGTACTCGTCGAAGTTTTCGAAGAAACCGTCGAAGTTGATGATAAGTCTGACGGTAAAACTACTAACACTTCTGCCTGCTTTGATAACGTTGTGAAAGACAACAGTGATGACGACTACGAAGAAATCGACGACGACGAAGAAGAATCAGTTCCCGCCGTCGACGATTCGGATGTCGAAATAAATGAGCCCCTGTTTAGTTTGAATGATGCGATTGCTGCAATGTCTCTGAAGAAACAGCAGCAACGCAAGGCTGTTTCGGGTCTGGTCAAAGTTAACTCGAAGAAGATTTCCCCGTCTAAAGTTGGCGTTAAAAGCTCAAGTTGCGCAAAAAAGCTGGTTGAACGTGACCGCAGTTTTTTGTCCAAGAAGACCAGAAAGAAGAGAAGTGAGAAGACGGATGTTGGAGCTGGCTCGTTCGTTGACGGGAACAAAGTCAAGAAAAAGGATAGTTCCGAATGCTCTACCGGGGAAGCACAGGTTCCGAAACCTGTGAAGAAGTTGAAGATGAAACTCAAAAGATGGGCGGAATTGAAAGCAGGTGAGCCTTCGATCGTTCAAATGTTTCGCGAGTAGTTTGAAAAATGATTTAAAACTGTTGCCAGTACTTCACCGTGTCCTTTTTATTTTTTGAATATCCGTGGGTTTGTATAAAAGTTCTAGAATGAATGGGAAAAAATGGTATTCTCGACTAGGGCAATCTAGCCGAAATTTCTTTTCAAGTTAACATTCAGAATTACCAATTCAGAAATTACCAAAATCAAAACATTTTCATCATTCAGATATGGTTGTCAGTACTGAGACTACTTCAACTGAAGTACATAATCAAATAAATCACATTTTCTCGGAGTGATCGGGCGAAAATGGAAAAAAAAAACTACCAACATTCGTGGTCTAAATATTAATGGAGAGACTCGAAGGTGAACTTGGTCGTGGATTTCCCGTAATTAGGAATGTTTTCGTAATTCTCTTGATCTATAATTCTATAGCTATTTTTATGTCTTGAAAGTCCGTAAATATTTTATAGCGGGGATAAACAGCAAGAAAACGGATGCTCCTGCCGTCACGAAGATATTTAAGTCTCCGAATAAACTGGAAACAAATCGAAAGAATACGATGGCTCCTGCGGTGAAGAAGATTGCCGAGTCTCCAGTTAAAGTTGAAGTGACGAATTCTCCCAGCAAAAGTTTCGAAGCAAAAACGAAAAAATGGAGGGGAAGGAACAAAAGTGCCTCCGCTGTTAAAAGCGTGAACTTGGATTCGGGACTCAACATTTACGAAATCCTGTCGATGCCCAAATGTGAGCAGTACTTTCAAAGGAAAGGACGGGTTAGTTAAGACTCTGAACCATTGATTTGAGTCACATCATTCTATTAATATCTCTGAGAAAATTTCCCGTTTTGTCTCTTCTGTGTCTTTATTCTTTACCGAAGGTCGTGAACATTTTGGAAGAACGACATCCACGGAAAGTGGCAGGATATTTGAAATTTGCGCCTGAAACAACGGAATACTATCACTTGATCCCGTTGGATCAGCGCCTTCCACGTTTGAGAATTCCTGCGAACCAATGTCCGGAAGATTTTTCGAAATGCCGTGACCAATACAAAAACACCATCTTCTTGGCGAAAATGATTGGTTGGTCGGATGATCACCTGGGAGATGGGTGAGACACTTTCAGTCGAGTTGGGTTTTTTGGGAATTAGTACTGTTTTATTAGTTGCAGGTTGCTCAAGTTCAAATTTAAATCATGATGATTATTGAATTAAGAATACGAGAGGTTTATTTTTTTTATTTCCTCGCGAAAACTTCAAGACTTTCTTTTTCTCAGGGTGCTGTTGGAGCGGATTGGAGAAACCGGCAACGTGAAGGCAGAAACTACAGCAATTCTTTTATCTTGCAATGTGGACATCGATCCGTTTCCTTCAGGAATTCTCAAATCGCTTCCGAAGGAATGTCGAGTTTCCCAGAATTCGACAAAAGACAAGTCTGAAATACAGTTCCCTGTGAACGAAGTTGAGAAGCGCATGGATTTTCGGTTTGTTCTATTTTATACTGAAACTCTCTTGCAAAACTTTTAGGTCTCACTTTTGATGCTTTAATAAACTTACAAATCATAGTAGAACTATTTATTCTGGCTATTGACTGGGGGCTTCAGCGCGGAACTATCGAATGTTTGAAGAAAAAATGTTTCAGTGATTATCTCGCGTTATATTACAGGTATTTNCTCTGAAGAAACAGCAGCAACGCAAGGCTGTTTCGGGTCTGGTCAAAGTTAACTCGAAGAAGATTTCCCCGTCTAAAGTTGGCGTTAAAAGCTCAAGTTGCGCAAAAAAGCTGGTTGAACGTGACCGCAGTTTTTTGTCCAAGAAGACCAGAAAGAAGAGAAGTGAGAAGACGGATGTTGGAGCTGGCTCGTTCGTTGACGGGAACAAAGTCAAGAAAAAGGATAGTTCCGAATGCTCTACCGGGGAAGCACAGGTTCCGAAACCTGTGAAGAAGTTGAAGATGAAACTCAAAAGATGGGCGGAATTGAAAGCAGGTGAGCCTTCGATCGTTCAAATGTTTCGCGAGTAGTTTGAAAAATGATTTAAAACTGTTGCCAGTACTTCACCGTGTCCTTTTTATTTTTTGAATATCCGTGGGTTTGTATAAAAGTTCTAGAATGAATGGGAAAAAATGGTATTCTCGACTAGGGCAATCTAGCCGAAATTTCTTTTCAAGTTAACATTCAGAATTACCAATTCAGAAATTGCCAAAATCAAAACATTTTCATCATTCAGATATGGTTGTCAGTACTGAGACTACTTCAACTGAAGTACATAATCAAATAAATCACATTTTCTCGGAGTGATCGGGCGAAAATGGAAAAAAAAACTAATAACATTCGTGGTCTAATATTAATGGAGAGACTCGAAGGTGAACTTGGTCGTGGATTTCCCGTAATTGGGATTTTTTTCGTAATTATCTTGATCTGTAGCAATTTGTATGTCTTCAAAGTCCGTCAATATTTTATAGCGGGAATAAACAGCAAGAAAACGGACGCTCCTGCCGTCACGAAGATATTTAAGACTCCGAATAAAATGGAAACAAATCGAAAGAATACGATGGCTCCTGCGGTGAAGAAGATTGCCGAGTCTCCCGTTAAAGTTGAAGTGACGAATTCTGCCAGCAAAAGTTTCGAAGCAAAAACGAAAAAATGGAGGGGAAGGAACAAAAGTGCCTCGGCTGTTAAAAGCGTGAACTTGGATTCGGGACTCAACATTTACGAAATCCTGTCGATGCCCAAATGTGAGCAGTACTTTCAAAGGAAAGGACGGGTTAGTTAAGACTACGAACTATTGATTTGAGTCTCATGATTATATTAATATCTCTGTGGAAATTTCCCGTTTTGTTCTTCTGTGTCTTTACCGAAGGTTGTGAGCATTTTGGAAGAACGACATCCACGGAAAGTGGCAGGATATTTGAAATTTGCGCCTGAAACAACGGAATACAATAACTTGATCCCGTTGGATCAGCGCCTTCCACGTTTGAGAATTCCTGCGAACCAATGTCCGGAAGATTTATCGAAATGCCGTGACCAATACAAAAACACCATCTTCTTGGCGAAAATGATTGGTTGGTCGGATGATTACCTGGGAGATGGGTGAGACACTTTCAGTCGAGTTGGGTTTTTTGGGAATAAGTACTGTTTTATTAGTTTCAGGTTGCTCAAGTTCAAATTTAAATCATGATGATTATTGGATTAAGAATACGAGAGGTTATTTTTTTTATTTCCTCGCGAAAACTTCAAGATTTTCTTTTTGTCAGGGTGCTGTTGGAGCGGATTGGAGAAACCGGCAACGTGAAGGCAGAAACTACAGCAATTCTTTTATCTTGCAATGTGGACATCGATCCGTTTCCTTCAGGAATTCTCAAATCACTTCCGAAGGAATGTCGAGTTTCCCAAAATTCGACGAAAGACAAGTCTGAAATACAGTTCCCTGTGAACGAAGTTGAGAAGCGCATGGATTTTCGGTTTGTTCTATTTTATACTGAAACTTTCTTGCAAAACTTTTAGGTCTCACTTTTGATGCTCTAATAAACTTACAAATCATAGTAGAACTATTTATTCTGGCTATTGACTGGGGGCTTCAGCGCGGAACTATCGAATGTTTGAAGAAAAAATGTTTCAGTGATTATCTCGCGTTATATTACAGGTATTTTCTATCTGAAACAATTTTCTCTGTACTGTATAGTGAATTTATTTTGGTTTTCTACCCATCCCATGGGGCATCTACTGTGCAACGAATTTTTGCTGGTCCCCTGAATTTCATTGTAAATAGAGTCCATCTGAAAAAATATTTCGAATGTAACGAAGTGCTTCAGCAGTTTAGCCCGAACAATCTATCAATTCTAACCCTTCATCACAAGTGATCATATATGCTCTTTTTTTTAATGCTTTCAAATATAAAAAATAGGTAATCTAGACATTTAAGTTTGGATACATATACGGTACTGCATATTCCAGTTGAATAAAGGTTAAGAATCGGTTCAAATTAAAAGCATACAGGGCGCTTTGCTTATCCATTAATCTAAACATGGACGGGAATAATTCAAGTCTGAAGTATACGAGTTCTTCGCCTGAAGACAGCTTTTTCTTTAATTTTCTCAGGAAAGATGCGTGCGTATTTACCGTTGATCCAGAAACAGCGAGAGATCTTGACGATGCCGTGCATATTAAGTATATCGACGATGAAACATTGGAAGTTGGCGTTCACATCGCAGATGTTTCTTACTATGTTCGGGAAGGAACGCAACTGGATAAAGTGGCTGCCGAACGATCGACCAGCGTTTATATGGTTCAAGAGGTATTCGTTTCGAAGATACTCGACCGAAATCAGGGAACGGAATCCTGAATTTTGTTCGACGTTTCTGTTTTCCAGGCTGTGCCGATGCTTCCACGTGAGCTTTGTGAAGACCACTGTTCATTGAATCCAGGCGAGCCTAAGTTGACTGTATCTTGTGTTTGGCACGTGAAACCCGATGGAACATTTCGAAAGCACGCAATCGGGAGAAGTGTGATCATGTCAAGCTGTAAACTTTCATATGAACATGCTCAGGTAAAACTTCAATTTTGACAAATCCTGATTTCTTTGAGAGCACAATATTTTCCTTAGATGCTGATCGAAGGCAAGAAGGTTGATCATCGAGGTCGAGAGCTTAGCATGCCTGAAGTACACGGCGAGTACACGATTGAAGATATCAAGTTGGGTTTGGAGAAGCTTCATGGGCTGACGAAGAAGCTTAGACAGCAGAGGTTTGAGTCAGGGGCACTGTCATTGGATCAACCGAAAATTGGGTTCCAATTGGATCCCGAAGACTCGTTACCGAGTGCCTTCCATGTTTATAAGCGCCTCGACGCCCACTTGTGAGTTTGTTGAATTCTGTTCATTGGCCAAATTTTGTTCTCTCAATACCTCGGATGTGGTTTTTGTGCATAGACCGAAAAGCTGTCTCATATGTTTGGTCTACAGACTCTTCACTATACTTGTCAATTATTAGATTATACTGAATTTTCAGCAATAAATTTGAGCTTACCCTTCAAGCGTGTTTTCCGAAACTTTTGAGTCACTCTTTTTTTTCTGGAGGTCCTTAAACTGTAAATTATTCGCTTCCGGCTTTGTCCAAAATAATAGGTGTACGATTCTTCTCTTCATTGTAAGTACTGTACTGTACTTGATTTCCATATTGAAAATGGACTTGAATTTTTCCGTGCATTGAATCTGTATCCGCAAGGAATAATAATTTGCTGCTAATGTATGAATGCGTTATAACTTATGAGTCGCTTCCAAAATCAGTCTGAGGCTTGGAGTCGCGCACGGCTGATAATCAAGACACTGTTGATTAAACTCTTTCTGTTTTCGTGAATTCCAATTTATTTTTAGTTTGATCGAAGAGCTGATGTTGCTGGCCAACATGACGATTGCGGAAGAATTGTTGAAGAAAGCAGGGAAGAAGGCAGTTCTTCGTCGCCATGTTGCACCGTGCGAATCGCGGATCGCTCATCTTTTGCGCGCCGTCTCTGCTTACGGACTACAACTCGTATGACGATTGCGGAAGAATTGTTGAAGAAAGCAGGGAAGAAGGCAGTTCTTCGTCGCCATGTTGCACCGTGCGAATCGCGGATCGCTCATCTTTTGCGCGCCGTCTCTGCTTACGGACTACAACTCGATGCGTCATCTTCGAAGAGCCTTGGTGACTCCCTGTCATCGATCAAGGAAATAAATCCTGTCCAGCACGCAGCCGTCGTTTATCTGTTCACAAAGCCTATGAAGGTGTGGGATTATGCCACTGTATTCTTTCTATTGATTAGCGATGAGATTTTCTGAATCACGGTACTGTACTTCATTCTGTATGTAAATTGTGTTACGAATCCGCCGGTTTTTATAATAAGTTTCTTTGTTGTAATTATGATGCATCGTTGTTATTTATTATTATACAGTATTTTAATTACTGTATTTTTATAACATGTGGACTTTCTCAGTAACAAAATTCGAGGGACCAGAAAAATTACTTGTAGAAAGAATTTCTAGAGAACCTCTACAACATAGGGAACCGAATGGTAACCAAAAGAATCGTTTTAAAGAGAAGATGGTTGTAGACAAGATCGTTGTAGAGAGTGCACCTACATAATTTTTATTTATTTTTATTATTTTACAGTGTTGATAGTGATCATTATTATATCCGCATTTACCGTCTTTAATTTGTTGTTAATTTTATTGTACATTCGAATTTGTTTGTATGCAGTTGAATCTCAACAGATTCGTTTTTCAGGTACGTTTCCGAAAGCTATAATATTATTTGAATCGCTTTATAATGAAGCTTTTTACGCGGTTCCAGCAGCTCGTTGTTGAGAGATTTCATTGTAATTAAGGCAGACGTTTTGTTTTGTTCCCGACTTGTCACAGGACGAGTCCTCTTGATCCGAACGGTCGACTCTTGTGCATAGAATGATGTTCTGGAGGAAAATACTAGGAAATTTCTACTCGAGGAATTTGTTGCATCGTGTGTAGCATCGAATTTTGAATAAATAATCGAGTTCGTTTTTTTTTTCAGCTTGCGAAATATTTCGTAGCGGAGTCGGTTCCATCTGGAGAGTTCGGGCACTACGCGTTGAATGTACCTTGCTACACGCACTTCACATCTCCTATCCGACGTTATCCGGATATTTTAGTTCACCGATTATTCGGGAACATATTTAATTGGTTCTCCTCTTCGTCAAAAATTTGGAACGAGTTTACCAAAAAGTTGAATAAAAATATAAAATTGTATTCTTTATTTCAAGACACAGAAAATTATAATGCAGGAAGACTCGCACAATTTGCTCTTCTGGCATGAAAAGGAGTCCAAACCACCATCGGAATGTAGAAAATTTTAAATTTGTCTGAAATAGTTAAAATGTCCGTATCTCGAGACATTTTTCAAGTGTCCGCGAATGAATCGTCCGCATCTCGGGGCTGCAACGTGACCTTTACATGATATGGCCAGATTAATGCGACACCTACCTGAAGAAAGAAAATTGCAGTTGAAGGAAGGGATTCCGCTTTCGCTTACGTGAATTGGTTTGAGAACAAGTCGAAGTTTATCCAGATTTTAATTAATTCCTCAAATTTAGACTTTCTGAGAGGAAAAAAATATTGATCTACGCATTGGCGAATGCTACCGGATGATCGAAATTTCGCCGTAAAATGAAGAAAACTTTATTTTTAGCATCACGGAGTACTGCAACACGAAGAAAGAAGCTGCGAAACGGTGTTCGAATGCAAGTTCAGACCTGTTCTTCAACTTGTTCCTGTCCAAAAACTCGCAATACAGGATGAAAGCAGCTGTGACCATGGTAACGGACCAGTCTTTCGACGTTCTTCTCTATGAGATAGGCTCCACTGGAAGAATTTATTACGACGTGAGGAATAAGAGATTGCGTAGTGTTCGTGTATTTAATTCTCATATGTTTGGTCTACAGACTCTTCACTATACTTGTCAATTATTAGATTATACTGAATTTTCAGCAATAAATTTGAGCTTACCCTTCAAGCGTGTTTTCCGAAACTTTTGAGTCACTCTTTTTTTCTGGAGGTCCTTAAACTGTAAATTATTCGCTTCCGGCTTTGTCCAAAATAATAAGTGTATGATTCTTCTCTTCATTGTAAGTACTGTACTGTACTTGATTTCCATATTGAAAATGGACTTGAATTTTTCCGTGCATTGACTCTGTATCCGCAAGGAATAATAATTTGCTGCTAATGTATGAATGCGTTATAACTTATGAGTCGCTTCCAAAATCAGTCTGAGGCTTGGAGTCGCGCACGGCTGATGATCAAGACACTGTTGATTAAACTCTTTCTCTTTTCGTGAATTCCAATTTATTTTTAGTTTGATCGAAGAGCTGATGTTGCTGGCCAATATGACGATTGCGGAAGAATTGTTGAAGAAAGCAGGGAAGAAGGCAGTTCTTCGTCGCCATGTTGCACCGTGCGAATCGCGGATCGCTCATCTTTTGCGCGCCGTCTCTGCTTACGGACTACAACTCGATGCGTCATCTTCGAAGAGCCTTGGTGACTCCCTGTCATCGATCAAGGAAATAAATCCTGTCCAGCACGCAGCCGTCGTTTATCTGTTCACAAAGCCTATGAAGGTGTGGGATTATACCACTGTATTCTTTCTATTGATTAGCGATGAGATTTTCTGAATCACGGTACTGTACTTCATTCTGTATGTAAATTGTGTTACGAATCCGCCGGTTTTTATAATTAGTTTCTTTGTTGTAATTATGATGCATCGTTGTTATTTATTATTATACAGTATTTTTAATTACTGTATTTTTATAACATGTGGACTTTCTCAGTAACAAAATTCGAGGGACCAGAAAAATTACTTGTAGAAATAATTTCTAGAGAACCTCTACAACATAGGGAACCGAATGGTAACCAAAAAAATCGTTTTAAAGAGAAGATGGTTGTAGACAAGATCGTTGTAGAGAGTGCACCTACATAATTTTTATTTTTATTATTTTACAGTGTTGATAGCGATCATTATTATATCCGCATTTACCGTCTTTAATTTGTTGTTAATTTTATTGTACATTCGAATTTGTTTGTATTCAGTTGAATCTCAACAGATTCGTTTTTCAGGTACCTTTCCGAAAGCTATAATATTATTTGAATCGCTTTATAACGAAGCTTTTTACGTGGTTCCAGCAGCTCGTTGTTGAGAAATTTCATTGTAATTAAGGCAGACGTTTTGTTTTGTTCCCGACTTGTCACAGGACGAGTCCTCTTGATCCGAACGGTCGACTCGTGCATAGAATGATGTTCTGGAGGAAAATACTAGGAAATTTCTACTCGAGGAATTTGTAGCATCGTGTGTAGCATCGAATTTTGAATGAATAATCGAGTTCGTTTTTTTTTCAGCTGGCGAAATATTTCGTAGCGGAGTCGGTTCCATCTGGAGAGTTCGGGCACTACGCGTTGAATGTACCTTGCTACACGCACTTCACATCTCCTATCCGACGTTATCCGGATATTTTAGTTCACCGATTATTGTGCCAAATCCTGGGGCAGGGGCCGCCGGTGACTACCTCGGCGAAGGCTTTGCATTGGTCAGTCTTTATGATCACTTCCGTATTGATTTTCATCCTTCTAGAAATCTAGGTACCCAGCAATCTAGGTAGCTTTGGAATGTTGTGCAAATGTCCTTTGTATCCCTAACTCGAACCAAATGTGACCTAAATCTATGAAGATCAGCTTTCACGTACCCAACTCAAGCTATCGTATGCAGTGGGGGCCCGAGATGGAGGCTTCATTGGTTCATAGACATTTTCTCAATATTGAGACGTCCGCATCATGTCGATCGTATTTTCCCATATGCTTTGACGGGAACATATTTAATTGGTTCTCCTCTTCGTCAAAAATTTGGAACGAGTTTACCAAAAAGTTGAATAAAAATATAAAATTGTATTCTTTATTTCAAGACACAGAAAATTATAATGCAGGAAGACTCACACAATCTGCTCTTCTGGCATGAAAAGGAGTCCAAACCACCATCGGAATGTAGAAAATTTTAAATTTGTCTGAAATAGTTAAAATGTCCGTATCTCGAGACAATGTCCGGATTTCGAGACATTTTTCAAGTGTCCGTGAATGAGTCGTCCGCATCTCGGGGCTGCAACGTGACCTTTACATGATATGGCCAGATTAATGCGACACCTACCTGAAGAAAGAAAATTGCAGTTGAAGGAAGGGATTCCGCTTTTGCTTACGTGAACTGGTTTGAGAACAAGTTGAAGTTTATCCAGATTTTAATTAATTCCTCAAATTTAGACTTTCTGAGAGGAAAAAATATTGATCTACGCATTACTGATAACGTTGGCGAATGCTACCGGATGATCGAAATTTCGCCGTAAAATGAAAAAAACTTTATTTTTAGCATCACGGAGTACTGCAACACGAAGAAAGAAGCTGCAAAACGGTGTTCGAATGCAAGTTCAGACCTGTTCTTCAACTTGTTCTTGTCCAAAAACTCGCAATACAAGATGAAAGCAGCTGTGACCATGGTAACGGACCAGTCTTTCGACGTTCTTCTCTATGAGATAGGCTCCACTGGAAGAATTTATTACGACGTGAGGAATAAGAGATTGCGTAGTGTTCGTGTATTTAATCCCTTGGTGTGAATAACTTGCAACTTGTTCCGAATCCGAAAATTTCAGAAAATCGGCATGAAAAAGTGCCACTTCTCGCGACATCAGGGGAAAAGTTCGGTGGATCTCACGTGGGCAGCTGTTGACGAAGGACCCGACATCCCGCAGAGCATTTGTGTTTTTGACGAGGTGGAAGTTGAATTAACGTCAACAGCGAGCAACAAATACTCGACGTGTCTACTCCCGCCAGAAGGTGCCATGAGAACGAAGCGAGCTAAGAAGGGAAACCTCTTGAATTCTAATGGCGACTCTTGAGTTGATTTCGCGGATTACATAATTTTGCCTCGACTCAAGCACAAATGAAACTAACTAAAATAAACGCCGAGTGACTCTAGGAAAAATAGGAGTGAGTTTTCGACTAAATCAATAGACACTACGGACAACTTTTAGGAGAAAATATTATGCTTCGTTATTTCCATTTCATAAAGCATGACCCTTTTTTTCGTCGTTGAGATGAGGTTGTGAATGAGTTTTTGGTGGAATTTTTTCGTGTGGAATTCCCGTGATGGAGTTCGTGTTTTCTTTTTTTGAATTTTCGGATTGTATTAAAAAAAAATGCTGGACGGTCAAAAACTCATCTCTTGGTGATTTCGCTGAAGTTCCTTTCGTAGGCCTCCATGCATGTCATTGTTCTCGAATCGGTCCTTTTATTGAAAAAGTTAAAACAGTGAAAAAAAGGATTTGGTGTTATTACTGCTTAAGTCGTAAGGAACTTCGCGTCTCACGTCACTCTAGACAAGGACGTAGCTAGTACAGGCGTAAGAAACAACGCGGAGTACGAGCTAAAGAAGGCAGACAAAAGTAGCAGTGTCAGCTTGTCATTGCCCCTTTCCTTCTTGGCCTTCTTCTTCTTCCTGTACTTATTCCCGCCGCTAATTTCTCTTCTGTGCTCACCGATGCACGGGTCCTTCGATGACTGGACCCGCACGATCGGGTATAAAATCTGTGATCGTGATCTGCGCTTGCACGGATCTTCCCAGGGACTTCTTGGGCAGGAATCGCTCGGTGTTTCTTCACAAGAGCAGGAATCGTCTTCCTCCTGCTCCTCATCGTCGTCTTCACAAATCAGTTTGTTTGTTGCGGCGTCTGTGTTGACAGCGGATTCTTCCTCGATACCGCCTTGAAGGCTGATGCTTTCCTCCAGGTTAGTGGCTACAGAGACGTGCGGTTCCTCAATTGTTATCTTCTTTTCCTCGGTGATAGGTTCCGAAGGTTCAATTTTCATGATGGATTTTGTTGATTCAGTATTGCTCGGTGTTGGAGGCGCAGGTGCTGTGAAAGGAGGACTTTGTGCTGGAGGCGGAGCAGGTGCTTTGAAAAGAGGACTCGGCTCAGGGATGACGGAGTCCGTTTTCGGGATCGGTTCGGGTTCTGGTGTTGGTGGAAGTGGGGCATCAAAGTACGGATCCGGTTCTGGGATCATATCCGATTGTGGCTTGATGGGAGGAACCTTTTGTTTCACTCGTTGAATCAATGGTTTCGGCTCATCTTTTGGCCCGTCGTTCGGTGGCAACTTATTGCACCAATACTCATAGCCCTTCCAAGCGGCCAAAGCAGCTGCCATCAGGGCTGCAAGCGTAAGGAGATCCTTCCACCAGGAGGATCCGGTCTTGCACGGATCCTCGCATTTGGCGCACTTGTAAACGCACGTGCACGGGATATACTGGTAACCACAGGGATTCGGTTGTGGTGGACAAACTTCCGGATTCAGGGCAGATGGTCGACTCAGGATCCATCTGTTGAAATAGTTGGTCAAGGCGGAAACACGGGAGGTTTCCCCCACATTTCGACTCCTTTTTGCAGCTGCGTGTTCATGGAATTGCTGAATGAAGTCGAACTTTGGTGTCGGTGGAAGATCTGCTTCTGTCCAGGTGTTGAGTGGTACGCCACGTAGGACTTCTCCGATATTTAGGTCTTCGGAGTGTGTGATTTCTTCATGTCCTTGTTGATATGTTCCCGTCGGCCACTACATTGAAAAATACAGTAATAAGATTCATTACACATCAAACGCCATAAATGTGGTATCTAGAGGATGAATTACGTGCAAAATTGAACTTTTTTTTATGTATATGTTGGATTGTGGCTCACTGGAAAGAGTTATATCTTCTAAAACCTCCGAAATCTGAGAGAGTGGATTTTGTTAAGTTTCTCTCTTCCACATATCAGCTATTTTGTTTCATGTAATTTCTTTCGTTTTTTAAATTCGAAACGGAATTCTTCGAAGGAATGTCCGCAATTCAACCATTGCAGAAAAAATATTTCTACATGGATGACCACTGAAACTGATGGATTTTGCTGGAGTTCGGTCAAATCTTGCTTTACAAAAACTGATGTTATTCTAAAACAATTCTTCCCAGGAAACTCAATAAATATTTTTTAAATTTTTATGGCTGCTGCTTGTTGAGATTATTGGCACAAAGTTTTCGTGGAGAACATGAATAACTCACAAAATTTCTGAAAAATCCCATCGTGTAATGGAAGAATTCATGGTGGAGTTAATCTTCAGGACCGAATCATGTCGTTCGCTTTAAATAATCTAGTAGGTTGCGAGTTGCTTGTTATCAAGTAACGGACGAGTAACGACTAAGAAGATAAGGGTGAGTAATATTTAAAAATCCCCCTTATTTAGTAATGTACTCAGTATAAGTGTCCCAAATGATATTTCTCCCTTTCATTCCACGAAAAAAAATTAAATGAATGATGCCTTCAGGGGTTTCAACGATGTCTCATTTATTTTCAGCGGCACCAGTCTGGTACCGGAGAAAGGAAAAGGAATAAACTGGCAGCTTATTCGCCTTCGACGGTGTCGCCCGGCGGCGGTGGGGCTTCTTCTCGAGCCTGAAGAGTGCTCATGGCGGCAAAAACCCATAGCCCCAGGACTGGGAAGATAAGCATTTGACCAAGGCATTGGCAGCTGGGAAAGTAGTCAAAGATGCTGGGTTCTGGTGGACAGCATGGCTTGGGGACCAGAGATTTTCCGCAGCCGCACGAAGATTTTGGAGCCTTTCAAAGCAAGAAAACGACCGAGACGTTCTTACGATTTCGAAGATGAACGTCTCATGCAGGAAATGGACAGGAGAAAAAAGTAGAATCATTATTTCATGAAATTCTAGTAACTGATATTTTGAGTTCCGCTCATTGCTGTTTTATGTGTTCGCATTTGAGTTTGATTGTGCTGCCGCTAAAAAATGTATTACGCTTTCTGCCGTGTAGCAGTTCATCAATACTGTAGATGAAACATTTATCATGGATGAATTATCGGGCGATACTAGAATAATTTTCTTTTTTCCTTGTTGAATAGTTCCATTGTTTGATAGCATTTGCTACACTTTTATTTTTCGATTAATGATTATGCGGGCGAATACGCCTGATCATTAGCAGAGAATCGAAATATTCTGTAAACGAAATCTTTTCGCTTACAAATAATAAAATAACATAATATAATATAAAATATTATACAGTACTGTACTGTAATAACAAAATTACAATTACTCCGAAGGAATAAGGAATAAATTCATCAATGAGAATATTTTACTGCACAGGAATCTGTCTCGGTTGAGACGATTTATCTCAGATCAAATTATAAAAGTATATTTAGGTAAGTTTACTCGTAATCTTGACATTTTAATGGTCTGTATTCTGCATATTTCTATGAAAATCTACCCGTTGAACGTTCTTGTTCGTATATTGACAGAGCAACTTCTTCGGAATTCTCAAGTTCAGGCTGTTTAAAAATAAATGTATCAGCATTTGGGATAATGAAACCATCGATTTCCGAATTTCAGTTGGTAATGCGTGTCGTTTCAGCTCACGGAAGGCGGTCCGGGCAGCGGGGGACACTCCGCCAAGGGCTGCGGCGGACAAATGGGCTTCGGTTTCGGACACGGCTTTGGCGGACACGGTGGCAAGCATTCCACCTTCGGTGGACACAGCGGCGGACATGGCGGCCTCTCCGGCAATGGACAACGAGGCGGTGGACACGCGGGTGCTGGGGGCGGGCATGGTGGCGGCGGCGGAGGTGGACACGGTTTGGGACACTCGGGTACTTTGAACGACTTCTTTGGCGGCTTGCAAATATCCGGAAGCGGCGGCGCCGGTGGACACGGTGGCGGGTCACATTTGTCGCACTGGGAGGTTGATAAGAATCTTGACTGAAAACTTATTCAACACACTTCTGTCCACAGACAGATCTTATCTAAGATTTCATGGTCGTGATAGAGAATGCTTGAAGGAAAGTCTTGACAGAACATCTTTAAAATCAAAAATCATTCTGGTGCTAGTTTTTTTTTCGGAGACTTTTACAGTAAAGTATATTCTTTACCGACACTTGCAAGTTTGGGAGTGAACTACCTTTTGCCATCAGAAATGTCAAGCTAGATTGGTTCTGGTTCAAATCTATTTCGGTGAATTTTTGATCCATTGCAAGTGATGGCGATGTATGAATTAGGAAAAGTAATTTTATCCTCTTGGTGTCGGCCAATTGGTGGACCTATTTTGTTTCTCTCGCCATATTTTCAACAGAAATTCACGTGTATCAACGCGTTTTTCATGATTTTTTATTGTGTAAAAATTAATTTTTTTCCTAGAAAGATTTCCTTTCTCGACTATACGAAACGTACCAAGGCAGACTTCATCAGACTCAAGTAGTCGAAAATGTTGAAACTCATTATGCTTTCAGTAATTGTGATGATGTAAGGTAATAATAATCTTCTGGGAAGTAATAATGGAGTAAGGTTTAGAGTAACCTCTTCTGAAACCCGTTTATGAAGGCGTTTATAGATGCGACTATATGTGGTCGTTGAGAACCTTCGTGATGATTGACTTTTTGAGTGGATTTTTAACTGATTTCTATTTGTGGCATGTATATTCTCTGTAATGAAAAGCTTACGTACTTTCGATTCGGAAGTAAAGGTAAGAGATCAAGTAAAGTTCGGCAATTCTGGTTTATATTTTCCCCACATTTCATTATTTTTTGCGCACGTTAGATGACATCTCGATGATTACTGGCAAGTAACCGATTGTCTTATTTATCTGTCAGCCAGATGTCGCTCGTGCAGTCGCCGCCAGGATACCTAAACCGTTCGGTATTAGTTAGACCAAATCTGACCGACGCATCAACCCAACGAGTTTCTCAGAATTCCTGCTACTTGCTAAAGTTCTACGGTGAGCAAGTAGAATATTTTGAATTAAGATTACATATTCATCTCAAATTTGAATGAATGATTGGTGAATGAACATTAGAACTCAACGATATGTTTTGGTACGATATAGATAGTCCTCCCGATTTAGCATAAATCCGTGATTGGAAGCCTTTTACAGCATTACTGTTCTTTTTTAATAATTCCTCATTTTTATTTTATTTAGGACTCAAAATTCCTCCATCAGAAAGGCACCTAAAAAAGTAAGTTCTTCCAAAAATCTTTCAGAGCCTTTGTTATGGTTAATATAGATGGGTGTGATGTACGGTACTTGTAGTCTCTTAACTGTTTTTCAAACTAATCCATCTTTAAAAAAAAAAACAGAAGTTTTTGTGAAATGAATTTAATTTATTTTTCCAGGCATTAGGCTAATTAAATTTTCCTCCACATTTACATATTCTTCATGTTCTATTCAATAAATGTTTTTTAAATACGTCGGGAATGCGTTTCAATATTTGACAGAACTGGCAGTCTTCATTAGATTTCAAGAATCCTGAGAAGCTCCTCGTGTGTATGTGTCATGAAACCAAATTTAACCTTATTTCGTGCGCCAAAACTGGCCCGTCCGATTCTTCACCAAAGTCGACAAGGAAGTTTTCATTCAAGCGGAGACCACCTTTTTCAGTATCCACATCAACTTGAAGCATCATAGATCCTTTCCTGCAACAATCACGCATGAATTAAAATTTATGAAATATTTCTGCAATAAGCAGATCGTTACTAATTCACTCACTCGACCATTTCCGGGTAAAACTGCTTGTCCCACGACGTGAACAAAGAGTTGGTGACGTAGAGACGTTTTCCGTCTAGTGACAATTGTATCATTTGTGGCCCACCCAGAATCCGCTTGCCTTTCACGTACTTCGCCTCTGGTTGTTCCTTTTGATTTATCGCACGAAAGTGGCAATTATTTATTTTTTTTATTCGTTAGGAACTCATAATATATGAACTGTACCTTTAACTCTTCGTCTTCGATCACCTTTACCTTGGACTCTTTGTGAATCGATCCGCCCAGGAAAATTTGTCCCACGAGCTTCGGTTTGTCCGGCGTTGAAATGTCGTATTGGCGAATGTCGCCGTGAAGCCAGTTACTGAAGTAGACGAATTTGTCGTCCAGGGAGATTATGATGTCTGTAATCAAACCTGTAAATAAGAAACAGTAACAGCATGCTATATATTGCGAATTGGAAATCGTGTAAATCGATCTGGCGTATCAGTCTTTTTATCCCAAGATTTTTTTCAGCCAACTCTCAACCAAGTGAATGGCAAATTTATTCGGTTTTAAAACAATATGTTTACTTCATTTTTTCATCAGTACTGTAATTGCAGATTTCTCATCTTTTTTAAAATATCAATCTGCTTTAAAATGCCCTGAACACATCGGGTTTAACGTATCAATGAGGTGAGGAAGTGAAGCATCCCCAATGTTGATGAAGAAACATACATTACTGTGCATGTGCAAGAATATATAAAATATTTTCGCCAAAAATAGCGTTAAAAGCTGGCTTCCCGTCTGAAATTGTGCCGAAGCGCTTCTCTGATTTCCTGAACGAGAAAGGTATATGTAAACCCAAAAATTCATCGATCCACATCCTGTGAAGGACCGAGTCAGACGAGGCCCACATTCCTGGACTGAACAGTCTTATCTTCAGAAAGGTGCCGTTTTATTCAGCACCACTTCTAAAACTCAAATTTTAGAGAACATCACATTTTTCCTCTTCCGAATGCTGGTCAGATGCAAAATAAATTCAAAACCTGATCGACGTGTTTGTTGGCACGATCTCTTTCGGAAGCTTTTTTCAACTCCACAGCTCGTATCGAATCTTACTTATATGAACTATTTTGGGCTCGGGGGAAAAGTCCAAGCAGAATTTTCCAACGACGCTAACCTGGCATTTCTGGCAAAGCCCAGCCTTCAACCTTTTTCGCAGGAACCGAGATCACTTTTTGCGCTGCCCAATCGTCACTGTCGTCTTTCTTGTAAAATCTGCGCAATGGAAAATTGCTGTGCAAATTTTCTTTGCCATACCTCGGGTTTGTGGTTATGAAAATGAAAAAGATGCATGTTCACGCACCGGAATACTGTTGAAGAAAGCGCACATCCGACGTAACCTTGAGCCTCTTTCGGGTCGTGCAAAAATCTGATCTCCAATGGGATCAAACCTTCCGGCCCGAGATCGATTTTCTGTTTCAGAACCCGCTTCTTCCAGTCCCACACGTTCAAACTGGTGCCGTACATCCCTGATGAACCCGCCGAGGAAAAAAATTGAAAAAACTTCAATTCTATGCAGTTCTATCAGAAATTTTGAAGGAAATGCAATAGGAAAAATTAATCGAGAAAAATAAGTTCAGAATCTGCCCAACGAGACATTTTAATCTTTTTCTTTTCAGCAGAGTGAATATTCTTCTTTCAGTTCATGTATTTTTCAAAACATTCAATTTGGATATATAAATGCGAAATATACCTTCGGCGACGTGGGTCGGATTAAAGCCGGTCTTGAAAGCTTTCGGAAATCCCCATTCCGTGGATATCATGACATTATGGAACGGCTGATACCAGAAGTCATAGCCCAAGGGCAAGGAGTCTTGGTCCTTTTCCCAAGTTCCTGGAACAGTGCCATGTAAATGGTCAACATATCATTCCAGATTCTCTCAAGGAAGAATTTTTTAGTTCCAAAACAAAATCTCGTCATTTTTTCTCATTCTCAGAATTTCTTCACTTGCATTCATCTCGACCGAGAAGAGCATGAAATTTAATTCGAATTTATTATTGTGCGTCAGGAGGAAAATATAAGAGCTCATCCGGGAGATACACATCTTTCTTGCTCAGAGACGTTCAGGTTAATGTAATTTGTAAAAATTTGATTTTAAAATGTCAAGAACCTTTGACTTCAAAAGTATTTCCATCAAGGAGCACGAATGATCCTTTGCCATTCCCGTTTTCGTCACCCATAGTTGAAATCATGATTTCTCCGGATGACAAGCAATGGGACGTGTGCGGTGTTCGACGGCCAGTTTTCCCAACAAATTCCTCTGGTTCGACAATCTTAGAATAGGAAAAAAAATTATGAATAATAATAATATAATAAATAATTATTTTCATTTTTCAATAAATAAATAAATACCTATAAAAGATGCTACAGTATATGAACCTCAAGTAAAGCTTCCAAGAGACCAGCAAATATATTCAACTTAGAGAAACAAGCATTTGAGTGAAGTGGGAGAAAGAATGAAGAATTGACAGGAAATTGTAATTGGCGATAAATAATCTAAGCTTCTACAGTAATTGCTTCTGAAACGTGCTGAACTTGGGAAAACTTGCGAGGTAATAAGGGTTTATTCCCCCCCCCCCCAAATTATTCATTCACTTTCTTTCAAATTAAGTAACATTTCTATTGTATTTCTCTTTCCTGTGCCAATAAAATTATCACCAAGAGGCCTCCAGAAAATTTTGACTTATGGAGGTTTGAGGGGCAAGCCTTTGATTTAAGGAGGTTTCTAATGCATCGTTTCCAGGAGAATTCAGAGATGGGCTAAAGAAAAAATTGACACAGGGAGGTAAAGGTAAGAGTTATTGAGGTTAAATTGTACATTTTCTTACTTTTCAGATTGTTTTTAAATTATGCAGAATATTTCGTGGTAATGAAGAGCATTTTTGTAAAGAGAAGGAACAATTTTGAATGTCATTAGATAAAACGGGCAACAATTTGACCAACGAGATGAATACTTCAAAATTTTCTCCAAAAATTAGTTAGCTTTAAACTAGATTATCGGCACATTGTATAAAGAGATCCTACACGAGCTGGAAACTGCATTTTTACAGCCAACATGTGTAAAAAACAAAACAAAAACATCAAGCAGTATTTTTTCTGAAATAAATTCTAAGCCGTCACTAATTGGATCTTCAGAATTTTTCCGTTTTGAACAAAAAAATTTACGACAAAGAATGGGTCCTAGAATAAGCTGTGACGAGAAGTGTGCTGCTACGTCAAGATTGAAAACATATGTATTCCTTATTTGAAGCAGGGCTATTGTTGAAAATCGTTGTACGCATGATTTCGTCGTTTCGAGATTCTACTGTGCAGAAAAACTCAAATACATTCTAAGCCGTCACTAATTGGATCTTGAGAATTTTTTCGTTTTTAACAGAACCTTTTTACGACAAAGAATGGGTCCTATATAAAATAAACTATGACGAGAAGTTTGCTGCTACGTCAAGATTTGAAGAAAATATATTCCTCATAAGAAACAGGGTTATATATAACTGTTTAAAATCGTTGTACGCATGAAGTTCGTCGTTTCAAGATTCTACTGTGCAGAAAAACTCAGCCTAGTGATAGGATGGACACAGGAAGCTCATTATTCATGCTGAACAGTTTCAGAATATTTTCGCTTCACCTTGTGGATGGTGGGAGTGCGTGGGTCAGTGCCAGTGTCGACGACGTAGACGCGATCCGACAGCAAACAAGGCATAATGAGTTTATTCCTCGCTGCAGGACGCTGAGGCATCGTGCTGCTCGTGCGCAAGGTCGGGCACACTACGTGGAGCAGAGGGCGTATGAAGTACCCGTTGGACACCTACTGGACCCAGTGTTACGGTTTTATTTTCCCTTGCTTTCTCTGAATGAAAAAGACTGGTCAGGAATAGGTAATGCGTTGACACAGGAATTGGAGGAGGAGGAGGAGGTAATCTGCGAATGCAAAAACCGTGATGGGGTCCCCCGTGAAATGGATCAGATGGAGTCATTTGAATATATTCCTCCTTCCTGGTCCTGTCTGTTGGAGAATTTTACGACCTTTCCTTCCGGTTCCATGGAACGGCGGAATTGACTTTTTGAAAAGCTCGAGTTTGCTTTCACATACTGACTTTGTTGCCACACCGAGTGAACTCAAAGATCAAAGGAGGACCTTCTTTGCCCACGCGATCAAGTATTTCTGACCTTTGGAAACTTTGAACTGAAATCCGGAAAAGTCACGTTACTCACGCGTTCTCGAGTGATTCTTAGCATCTCAAACGTGCAGTATACCTGGGGTTGAAATTACACGCCAAATATTCTTTCACGTTCGACAGGTTCTTGGGATAAAAAAATTTAGAAGTACTCCGGTGGCATTGTGGCACGTATGATTGAAGAATTAGTATCTAGTTCTTTGAACAGTTTACTAAAGGAGAACTGAGAACTTAGCAAATGTTGCTTGACCTGAGAAAAAGGTTGCTATAAATTTCCTGCTGGTCTTTTTTCAAGCAGGTTGTCTTGGAGACCAAGAGAGCCACACAAAAAAATAAATCGCTGTACTGTATAGGAAAAATCGTTGACAAGATCGTCGTCGAATGATAAGAGATTCCATTTCTGTATTGAACCCAGAAAACGAATGAATTTCCTTGAATATCATTTCACTGTTATCATTTCACTTTAAATTTTATTTTTCTTCTATAATCTTGAACTATGGATTTGACGATTTTTCGTGAAGCTTCCACGTAAATCCAAGCTTATAGAAAAATACTGTGCGTAAGATTTCTTATTTGGACATCGAGGCGATTTTCTTTCTCGGCTTGCATGAAAAAAAATCATTTTAAATTTGGAAAATGGATCGTCTGCTTAAAACGCGAAACTATATTTGCTCTCATTTTCATGCTCAACGAGAATGCAATTATATTCCCAAGCTTTTTCGATTGCAAGGTGGGCTTTTTTCGAATTTCTGACATGTAACAGATGTGGGGAAAAATAAATTGGAATGAATCATCTAAAATGCCCTTTTCACGGTTTTTGTCTAGTTTTTTTTCCGTTTCTACCTCACTTTATTTCCAGGTTTCCAACAGTTAAAAAGGAGAAAGTTTGGAGCTATCCTAGTTGGGGGGACCCAGGCGCAAAACTACGTCTATATAGATGTCGCTAAGAATGGCACACTGAACGTTCTTGGTGGACACACTCCAATCGTTCAACAACCCTGTTCTGTTCATCCTGTGGTACACTATCTGTTGGGGGGACCCAGGCGCAAAACTACGTCTATATAGATGTCGCTAAGAATGGCACACTGAACGTTCTTGGTGGACACACTCCAATCGTTCAACAACCCTGTTCTGTTCATCCTGTGGTACGCTATCATCAGCCTTACCATCAGTCCGTTTTATTCTCGACAGTTTAAGTAATGACTGAGATTCACTTAAAGTTACACTTAACTGTGAACGTGACAAAGTAACCAAGACGACTCTGACTTAAACCCCCCACCAATCCATTTCAATCCAATCCAGTCCAATACAATCAAAAAATATGTATTAATTTTAATTAAAATAATTTGTAATGAACATATAAAATCCATAGTTGAAATATTTTTAACTAACATATCCTGACCTATGGTTAGGTAAAGTTAGGTTAGGTCAGGTTATGTTAGTTAAAATATGTATTAATTTTAATTAAAATAATTTGTAATGAACATATAAAATCCATAGTTGAAATATTTTTAACTAACATATCCTGACCTAACCTAACTTTACCTAACTGCCCCCCAAAGTCAGTTTTTGCAGAAAACTTGAGTCAGGTTGTGTTACCTAAAATATTTTCAATGAACCCTTTTTAAAATGTATGGCTGAAATATTTTTTGCTTACTATTGGACTGGATTGGATTGACGGAGGGTTTAAGTCAGAGTCGTCTTAGTCTTTATTGTCACGGTCACAGTTAAGTGTAGAATTAAGTTTACGTGTCAACCTAAACATGGACGTATCTCTTATTTTACGGACCGGTGGTAAGGCTGACGATAGCGTACCTCACCCGCAGCACAGCAGAGCTGTTGGAGAATTGGAGTGTACAAGGGCTAGGCGCGCGTGATAGGGAGTATGCACTGTTTATTGTAGATGGAGCTAGTAGTCTGGGTCCCCCCAACTAGGATAGCTCCCAGTATTCTCCCAGGATCTATTATTTTTTTCAGGGAATGGTAATTAGCACCTGCTTTGTTTTGTGCATTTAACCCCAAGTTCGAAAGTTTTCATTCGCGCGTAGGCCATGCGAAGCACGTATTGGGTCCAGTGGTTAAACGTATACCTGATGGCATCAATTCCTGGCCGCAAACAACTTTGTGATCAGGCATAACTATCGGATTCAGTGGTAGTGTCGGTAGCTCAAGGTTGAGCCAAGGATGCACCGTCGCGACAAGATCACGGCCGTGAATACGTGTCGCAGCGGAAGCTTCCCCTTCGTGTGAAGGGAAGATCGTTCGAAAATGCATCCCAGTCTTTCCATACATGTGAGACGGGAATAGTCGTCTGCCCATAATCTTTGAATTCATAGCACAATGTTTTTCCTGTCGTGTTATAAGAACTGAATTTCGTTTCTTTCAGAACGTATCGTGTTGAACTGATCACAACATGTGTTGAAAATATCGAACTGTGTTCAACAGCCACTTCACGGACAAGTTCAGTCCTGATTTTATTCACTCGCAGATGGTATGGATTGATCCGTGCTCTCATGCGGGAGGTCTAGTCGCAGGCCGGGGTGAGGATAAGTGCTTTCGTGTGCACCCCGTCCTCCCTCCTGCTTCGAATCCTCAGCCGTTTGCGCTGATAAAATGGTGCTTATACGGATCAAATATGTCACTGTCGAACCGGTCTTGTTCCTGTATATGTTCGCGACGCTATTGCAGTATGTCGCCGTGCAGGACATGGTTTACAAACGAATTTGTCTCGGCAAATATTCGAAGGAGGTCTGCGAAAGCTTGATAAACGAAGACCATCAAGTACAACGGGACTACGTGCAGGTGAGGAACGTCTTTGAAAAATTTACGAGTGTGTGACGCACGTCGGATTTTTCGTGTCTCTACCATGTATGAGTTGTCCACATATATAAGCCTCGGAATCCAATGCGTTCCGTTTTAGTCAGAATAATCCCTTGATTCGACTGATCCTGCTGATTCTTGCTGTTCTCCCACAGAAGTTGGGATTTAAATTCTTCTGCACTTGAAGCAGAAATTGTAGCCAAAATCCGTACAACGCTTCTAACTTCATTTTTTCATTCAGTTGGTCCGAATTGGCACAATTTATTGGGATTTCTGCGATTCTTCGAGCTAATGTTCGTGGTGAAACGAAATGCTTCTTTAATTCGAGTAAATACGTTATTCTAATTTTCAAATTTTAATTTTCAAAGTTTCGATTTATCGCGTGGAATTTGCAGGCGGGAACGATGTATCTGATCTTGCTGTCGACGGTGGGAATGACGGTTCCTACACTCATATCTGTGGGATACATCGGGTCATGGAGCGATAAATATGGACGTAAAGTCCCGCTGGTATTTCCATGCATTGGGAACGTTTTGGCCGGGATTGTTTACATGGTGATCGCTTGGTGTGGCGTGGTTCCAATTGCATTGATAATCCTCAGCAGCGTGCTCTCAGGATTGTTCGGAGGCTTCGTAGCGACCATAATGGCGGTTATGAGCTACATGGCTTCCATCAGCGACCCCGAGAGCCGCACGTTGCGGGTTTCCATTCTGGAGTCTATGACTTTTCTGGGCGGAACATTGGGGCTTTTCGTGGGCTCGTTCATCTTGAGCAACGGAGGCCACTTCATCGTCTTTGCTGTGTTTGTGGCGTGCAATCTGTTGGCGATTTTGTATACATTGCTTTTCGTTTCCAACGTGTCGAACGCCAACCCAGTGAATGACAAGGCAGTCAACTCCGCGATTTCAAGTTACTTCACTCCGAGACATATGTGGGACAGCTGCAAAACGTGTTTCGTCGCTCGACCGCATCATGGCCGACGGAATCTGCTGTGTTTAGCTGCAGCTGCTTTTTTGATATTTCTCACTACCGCAGGTGATTCGGCTTAACGTTTTTGATCCGTAAGCATTTTAGTGAGTCACGAAAGCAGCATTTTGCTTTCAACGTGAATGTTGAAGTGATTTTGTGAGGTAACTTTCAGATTTTCAAGGATATCCTTGAAATATTGGGAGTCGACCACGGATTATTGCCCTACAAATTCCTCTCTCTTTTTTGTCTTACGCGAATCTCAGCTAAATGTATTTATCAACATGAAAGAATACTGTGGTGAACGATGTCCAGCAGAAACAAAAACCCTGCGAACAAAAACGGAGAAAAAAATTAGAAGGAATTTAAGAACGGGCGTTTTCATAATTTGACCGAATAACAAAACGGTAAAAGGTAACTTGAATATTTTGTTATTTTTTTGTATAGTGACCAGATTCCGTGAATTGTGGAAGTAAAACTTGAACCGGGATGAGGAGGTCGTATAGTGATGGAGGAGAAATACTGGAATTTCCAATATGCATGATTCTCTATTGCTTTTCACATATCTAAAAATCTGCCTTACTGTATTTCTCAACTACCATGTGCACATTTTTCTCGAAATCAAGAGGGAAAAAGGAGAGTTGGCATACATTTTTCAAAAAGTTGAGAACATATATGTGCGTCTTATAATATACTTAATTCCAATAGGAATTCCTGACCAATTTCATGGATAAACTTTCTCAATAGAAATGAGTGGAAATTAATTGAATTCAGGATTAATCAATTTTTAAAATCGAAACTTT